TTTTACACGTTCAGTTCATTGACATTAGTTACATTCACCTTGTTCAACCATCACCACTATTGGTTTCCAAATTTTTCCATCACCCTTCACAGAAACTCAGTGCCCTCTAAGCAATGAGTCCCTCATTGATTTTCATTACTACATAATATTTCCATTTTGTAAGTACATCGGTATATTTATTCATTCACCTGTTAGTAGACAGTTGAGTTGTTTTTGCCTTTACAAATACTGTTGCTGTGAATATTCTTGGTCAAGTCTCTTGGGGCACAAAGGTAAGAGTTTTTTCTCTTGAATGTACCATAGGTGTGGAATTGCCAAATTGTAGGATGTGTCAAGAGTTATAAGATAACGGCGAATTGTTCTCCTAAGTGATTGTACCAGTTAGTACTCCCATTAGCAGTGTAGAAGAGATCTTCTTGATCCGTATACTCTCCCTTAGTTATTTTAAGACTTGAAGATTTTTGCTATTTGAGTCATGTAAAGTGGTCTGTGATCTTGATTGCCTTTTCTAGATTTTAAAGAGGTTGAATGGCTTTTCGTGTGTATATTGACCATATATTCCCTCTTCCCTGAAATGCCTGTTATGTGACTCATCCCTGTTTGTTCTGTTGATTGTCATGTTCTTATTGATTGGCATGAGTTTTTGTATATCCTTGTTTCTATTTTCATGTCAGATATGTGTTGCTAAATCTCCCAATTTGTGGTGTTTGTTTTTACTTTTTTAGATATGTCTTATGATGTTCAGAAGCTATTATTAGTCTTTCCTTTTGTAGCTAGTGGTGGTACAGATGGTTAAGTGCTTGGCTACTATCTGAAACGTTGGTGGTTCAAACCCACCTAGAGGTGCCTTGGAAGACAGGCCTGGCGATCTGCTTCCGAAAGGTCCCAGCCTTGAAAACCCTATGAATCAATTCTACTCAGCGCACACAGCGTTGCCATGAGTCAGAATTGACTTGATGGCAATTAACAACAACAACATTTGTGGCCTTTTAAAGAAGTCTTTCCTTTTCCCAGGAGCCCTGGTGGCACAGTGGTTAATCCTTTGGCTGCTATCCAAAAGATCAGCAGTTTGAATCCACCAGCTGCTCCTTGGAAACCCTGTGGGGCAGCTCTACTCTGTCCTATAGGGTCACTATTCGTCAGAATTGACTGGATGACAACAGGTTTGGTTTGGTTGGTTCCTTTTCCCAAGATCAGAAAGTCATTTCTCCGTATTGTCACTGAAAAGTCATAAAGTTTTGCTTTTGACATTGAAATTCTTAGTTTAGCTGGAGTTAATTGCTATGTATGGATTGAGGTAAAGACTTCATCTTTTCTGTTAGCATAGGCAGTTTTCCTAGCTCTACTTTTAGATCAATCTTTTTCAATTTACCTGCCATGCCACCTTTTTCATATACCAGCATTCCATATGTGTGCTGCTGTTCCTTAACTCAGGAGCCCTCGTGGTGCAGTGGTTAAGCGCTCGGCTGCTAATTGAAAGGTTGGCGGTTCAAACCCA